TAGCTCCTTTTTGATGGTATTTTTTTTTTTCTTTTTTTGCTGATTTGTTTTACTTCATTGCAGATTCTGGATATTAGTACTTTGTCAGATGTATAGATTATGAAGATTTTGTCCTACTCTGTGGGTTTTCTGTTTACTCTGCTGACTGTTCCTTTTGCCATGCAAATACTTTTTAGTTTAATTAAGTCCCAGCTATTTATCTTTGTTATTATTGCATTTACTTTTGGGTTCTTGGTCATGAAATCCTTGCCTAAGCCAAAGTCTAGAAGGATTTTTCCAGTGTTATCTTCTGGAATTATTATGGCTTTAGGTCTTAGGTTTAAGTCCTTGATCCATCTTGAGTTGATTTTTGTATAATGTGAGAAATGAGGATCCAGTTTCTTCCTTCTCCATATAGCTAGCCGGTTATCCCAGCACCATTTGTTGAAAAGATGTCCTTTTCACACTTTAAGTTTTTGTTTTCTTTGTCAAAGATCAGTTGGCTGTATTTTGGTTTATTTCTGGGTTCTCTATTCTGTTCCATTAACCTATGTGCCTATTTTTATACCAGTGCCATGCTGTTTTGGTGACTATGACCTTATAGTATAGTTTGAAATCAGGTAGTGTGATGCCTCCAGATTGGTTCTTTTTGCTTAATCTTGGTTTGGCTATGTGGGTACTTTTTTTGGTTCCATATGAATTTTAGAATTATTTTTTCTAATTTCCGTGTTGTATGATGGTGGTATTTTGATGGGAATTGCATGGAATTTGTAGATTGCTTTTGGCAGTATGGTAATTTTTCATAATATTGATTGTACCCATCCATGGAACATGGGATGTGTTTCCATTTGTTTCTTTCAGCAGCGTTTTGTAGTTTTCCTTGTAGAGGTATTTTGACTCCTTGGTTAGGTACATTCGTAAGTATTTTTTTTTTTTTGTAGCTATTGCAAAAGGGGTTGTGTTCTTGATTTGATTCTCAGCATGTTTGCTGTTGGTGTATAGAAGATCTACTGATTTGTGTATATTAATTTTGTATCTAAAAACTTTGCTGAATTCTTTTACAAGTTCTACGAGCTTTCTGGAGGAGTCCTTAGGGTTTTCAAGGTAAACAAACATATCATCAGCAAACAGTGAGACTCTGACTTACTCTTTACTGATTTGAATGTCCTTTATTTCTTTCTCTTGTCTGATTGCTCTGGCTAGGACTTCCAGTACTATGTTGAAGAGGAGTGGTGAGAGTAGGCATCCTTGTCATTGTTCCAGTTCTCAGAGGGAATGCTTTCAACTTTTCCCCATTCAGCATTATGTTGGATGTAGGTTTGTCATACATGGCTTTTAATGCCTTCAGGTATGTCCCTTCTATGTTGATTTTTCTGAGAGTTTTAATCATAAAGGGATGCTGGATTTTGTTGAATGCTTTATCTGCATTTATTGAGATGATCATGTAATTTTTGTTTTTAATTTTGTTTATGTGGTGTATCATATATACTGACTTGCATATGTTAAATCATCCCTGCATCTCTGGTATGAAACCCACTTGATCATGGTTGATTATCTTTTTGATATGTTGTTGAATTTGATTAACTGGTATTTTGTTAAAGATTTTAGCATCTATGTTCATCAGGGATTGGCCTGTGGTTTTCTTTTCTTTTTTGGTTACGTCCTTTCCTGGTTTGGGTATTAGGGTGATGCTGGCTTCATAGAATGATTTTGTTCTCTGTCTTGTGGAATAGTGTCAAAAGGATTGGTACCAATTCTTCTTTGAATGTCTGGTAGAATTCTGCTTTGAATCCGTCTGGTTCTGGACTTTGTTTTTGGTAATTTTAAAATTACCATTTCTTTCTTGCTGCTTGTTACTGGTCTGTTCAGGGTATCTAATTCTCCCTGATTTAAGCTAGGAGGGTTGTATCTTTCCAGGAATTTATCCATCTGTTCTAGGTTTTCTAGTTTATGTGCATGAAGGTGTTCATAGTGGCCTTCAACGATCTTTTGTATTTTTGTAGTGTCAGTTGTAATATCTCCTGTTTCATTTCGTGTTGAGTTTATTTGGATTTTCTCTCTTCTTTTCTTGGTTAATCTTGCAAATGGCTCATCAATTATGTTTATCATTTCAAAGAACCAACTTTTCATTTCATTTATCTTTTGTATTTTTTTGTTTGTTTGTTTTAATTTCATCTGGCTTGATGACCTGTGTAGTGCTGTCAATAAAGTATTAAAGTCTTCCACTATTTTTATGATGCTATCTCATTTCTTAAGTCTATTAGTAATTATTTTATAAATTTGGGAGCTCCAATGTTATATATGTTTAGGATTGTGATATTTTCCTGTTGGAGGAAGCCTTTTATCATTATATAATATCCCTCATTGTCTTTTTAAACTGCTGTTACTTTAAAGTTTCTTTTGTCTGATATAAGAATAGCTGCTCTTGCTTGTTTTTGGTGTCCATTTGAATGAAATACCTTTTTCAACCCCTTTAAGTTTATGTGAATCATTACATGTTAGGTGAGTCTCTTGAAGGCAGCAGATAGTTATTTGGTGAATTCCTATCCATTCTGCAGTTCTGTATATGGTAAGTGGTGCATTTAGGCCATTTTCTTTCAATGTTAATATTGAGATATGAGGTACCATTCCATTCATCATACTATTTTTGTCTGTGTAGCTTGCTTTGTTTTTGTTTTTTAAGTTGTATTTTCGATTTTTAGGTCCTGTGAGATGTATGCTTTAAAGATGTTGTGTTTTGATGTGTTTCCAGGATTTGTTTCAATATTTAGAGTTCAATATTTTAGCAGTTCTTGTAGTGGTGGCTTGGTAGTGGCGGATTCTCTCAGCATTTGTTTATCTGAAAACAACTATATCTTTCCTTCATATACAATGCTTAGTTTTGCTGGATACAAAATTCTTGTCTGATAATTCTTTTGTTTGAGGAGGCTGAGGATAGGGTCCCAATCCTTTCTAGCTTGTAGTGTTTCTGCTGAGAAATCTGCTGTTAATCTGATAGGTTTCCCTTTATAGATTACCTGGTGCTTTTGTCTCACAGCTCTTAAGATTCTTTCTTTCACCTTAACTTCAGTTAACCTAATGATAATATGCCTAGGCGATGATCTTTTTGTGATGAATTTCCCAGGTGTTCTTTGTGCTTCTTGTAGTTGGATGTCTAGGGCTCTAATAAGGTTGGGGAAGTTTTCCTCGATTATTTCCCCAAATATGTTTTCCAAAATTTTAGATTTCTCTTCTTCCTCAGGAACACTGATTATTCTTAGGTTTGGTCATTTAACATAATCCCAGACTTCTTGGAAGTTTTGTTTATATTTTCTTATTCTTTTTTTTATGTCTTTTTTGGATTGGGTTAATTCAAAGACTTTGTCCTCGAGCTCTGAATTTCTTTCTTCAACTTGTTCAATTCCATTGCTGAGACTTTCCAGAGCATTTTGCATTTCTATAAGTGTTTCCAATGCTTCCTGAAGTTTTTGTTGTTTTTCTTTAAGCTATCTATTTCCTTGGCTATGTATCTCTTCACTACATACAAGATATATACATACATATATATGTATATGTGTATATGTGTGTGTGTGTGTGTGTGTGTGTGTGTGTATATATATATTTTATTTCCTTGCATTGGGCTTTGAATTCTTTTGGTGCCTCCCTGATTAGCTTAATATTAGCTTAATAATTAAGCTTCATAATTAACCTCCTGAATTCTTTTTCAGGGAAATCAGGGATTTTTTCTTGGTTTGGATCCATTGCTGGTGAACTAGTGTGATTTTTTTGGGGTGTTAGCCCCGTTTTGTCATATTACCAGGGTTGCTTTTCTGGTTCCTTCTCATTTGGGTAGGCTCTGTCAGAGGGAAGGTCTAGTTCTGAAGCCTGTTGTTCAACTTCTTTTGTCCCAAGGAGTGTTCCCTTGATGTAGTACTCTCCTCTTTTTCCTACGGATGTGGATTCCTGAGAGATGAGGTGTAGTGATTGTTATCTGTCTTCTGGATCTAGCCACCCAGCAAGTCTACCTGGCTTTGGCCTGGTATTGGGGGTTGTCTGCACAGTCCTATGATGTGAACTGTCTATGGGTCTTTCAGCTGTGGATACCAGCACCTGTTCCAGTGGAGGTGGCGGAGGGGTGAAATGGTCTCTGTGAGGGTTCTTAGCTTTGGTGGTTTAATGCTCTATTTTTGTGCTGGTTTGCCTCCTGCTGGGAGGTGGCACTTTCCAGAGAGCATCAGCTGTGGTAGTGTGGGGAGGAACAGATGCTAGATGGGGTTCTAGAACTCCCAAGACTATATGTTATTGTGTTCAGTTACCAGGGTGAGTAGGGTAGGACCATCAGGTGGGGGCAGGGCTAGGCGTATCTGAGCTCAGATTCTCCTCAGGTGGGTCTTGCTGCAGCTGCTGTGGGGGATGGGGGTAAGATTTCTAGGTCAATGGAGTTGTGTACCTAGGAGGATTATGGCTGCCTCTGTGGAGTCATGCAGATTGTCAGGGAAGTGGGGGAAGGCTGGCAGTCACTAGCCTCACTCGGTTCCTACACAATCCAAAGCATCTTTTTGACTCCCACCATGACCCATTAACAGCACTGAGTCTGTTTCCAGGCAGTGGGGAACCAGGGCTGAAAACTTGCCCCAGGCTACCTGCCTCTCAGCTGCAAAAGCAAGTAGGGTTTTTGTGTTTCCCCCCGCCTGTGGAGTCTGCACACCAGATTCATTACTTCCCCAGAGTTCTGGCCAGGAGGTTTCTTCGCCAGTTCAAGCTGGAGATTTCCTTCTCCCTGTGGCACTTTCCCTGTTCTTCTGTTCACCCTCCTGAAAAATCCCTGTGATGCCAGGCAGGAATGGCCTTCTTGGGGACCCAGTGAGCTCACAGGGCCTTTCTAGCTGCTTCCTCTACCCCTGTATTTCACTTGGCTCTCTAAATGAACTCAGCTCCAGGTAAGGTTGGAATCTCCTTCAGTAAGCTAGACTTTCAGTTTCCCAAGTGGGGATATGCGCTCGAGGGTAGACAATTTGGGCACTCACAGTTTGGGCACTCACAGTATTGGTGGTGTCTCCTGGGAGCACTCTGCTTCCTTCAGAGGGTCTGTGGGTCCCCTTGGAATTCCTGGTTGGTTCTTGCAGTTGTTCTGGAATTAAAATTCACAATGCGAGCCTCTGCATGCTGCTCTGTCCATTTGAGTCGGAGCTGCAATCTAGTTCTGCCTCCCATCCGCCGTGATGCCCTGACCTTGACTGAACAGCTCTGTCTTTACAATAAATAAATAATAATGATTTTAAAATATTTGTTGTCAGTTTTGATGAATTACATTTTTCTAGGAATATGTCAATTTTTAATCCAATTGGTAAAGTTATTTAATGTATACTGTTATGATTCATTTATGTTTATAGGATCTGTAGTGATGGCCCTTTTCTCATTCTGTGTTACCCTCTCTCTGTTTTCCTTGATCTGTCTTTGCAGGAATATAATTATTTTGTTAGTCTTTTCAAGACAGCAACATTTGGCTATGCTGATCCAATTTTGCAGGACTACTCAAAGTGTTGTTTATAGATAGATGATGGGTTGTGAAGTGTTTCATACTGGTCTGAGATATAATGAGTATTAGAAATGAAGAATGAGTGTTCAGAAACTTTTATAGTAATTTGACATTGCCATGACATTCAATCACATCATTAGTCCTATAAGTGCTTTTATCTTATAAAATTATTTATGAAAAAATTTTATATATTTTGAAATCATGGAAACACACACACAAACACATATAACACATTTATGTAGGTATACATGTATTTATAATGTACATTTATATGCACAATTTTAATGTAAATGTAAAATTTAATGAAAAATAAAGCTGATGCTAGGTGGAGATCAATAAGTGTGTTAGGGAATTGGAGATATTGAAAGAACATAAAAAATAAATTTAAACTCTTAGAAGATGACATGAGAAAATATAGATGACCTTGGGTTTGGTAATAACTTTTTAGATATAGCACAAAAGGCACTTATTTCCAAGAAATAAATAATTAATAAACTAGACTCATTAAAAATTTTTGCTCTGTGAAAGACACTGTCAAAATAATGAGAATACATTCCACAGACAGAGAGAATACTGGCAAAAGACATATCTTATAAAAGACTGTTATCTAAAATATACAAAGATCTCTCAAAACTCAATAATAAAAAATGAACAACCTGATTAAAAAATGGGTCAAAGATCTGGACAACTCACCCAAAAGATACACAGGTGGCAAATAAGCATATGAAAAGATGCTTAACATTATATTTCATTAGGAAATTGCAAATTAAAACAAGAAAATACCATTACATACCTATTAGAATGCAGAAAATCCAAAACTATGGCAACATTAATTGTTGGTGAGGATATGGAGCAACATAGACTCTCATTCATTGCTCGTGGGAAAGCAAAATGGTGAAGCCACTTTGGAAGACAGTTTGATAGTTTCTCAAGAAACTAAACATCCTCTTACCATATGACCCAGCAACTACATTCCTTTCTATTTACCCAGATGAACTGAAGACTATGTCTGCACAGAAACCTACATATGCATGTTTATAGCAGCTTTATTTGTAACTGCCAAAACTTGAAAGCAACCAAGATTTCCTTCAGTAGGAGAATGGATAAATAAACTGTGGTACATCTAGACAATGGAATATTATTCAGTGCTCAAAACAAAACATCTAGACAAATGGAATATTATTCAGAGGTATCAAGCCATGAAGAGATACGGAAGAACCTTAAGTACATAACACTAAGGGAAAGAAACCAATCAGAAGAGGCCATATACTGTATGATTTAAACTATAGAATAGTCTGGAAAAGATAAAATTATGGAGACAATGAGGCAGCAGTGAATAGGTGAAGCACAGAGGACTTTTAGGTGAGTGAAACTACACTGCATGATAGATGCTATGATGATGAGTGTGCATTATCTATGGATATCATATTCTATGGGTTTTGACTAATGTATAGTCAAAACCCATAGAATATACAACTCTAAGAGTCAACCCTAATTAAACTGTGGACATAGGGGATAATAATGTGTCAATGTAGGTTCATCAGTTATAAATGTACCACTCTGGTCTGGGGTGTTGATAATGGGTAGGGGGTGCAAATGTGGGGCAGCATTATATGGGAATTCTCTGTATCTTCCACTCAATTTTGCTGTGAACCTAAAGTTTCTCTAAAAAATCAAGTCATCCAGGCGCGGTGGCTCATGCCTGTATTCCCAGCACTTTCAGAGGCCAAGGTAGGAGGATCACTTGAGGCCAGGAGTTCAAGACCTACCTGGGCAACATAGCAAGATGTCTCTACAATATTTTGTTGTTGTTGTTGTTGTTTGTCTTTTAATTAGCTGAATGTGGTGGTGTGTGCTTTGAGAGGCTGAGGCAGGAGGACTGCTTCAACCCAGGAGTTGGAGGCTGCAGTGAGCTATGATCATGCCACTGCACTCCAGGCTGGGCAACAGAACGATATCCTGCCTCAAAAAAAAAAAAAAAATGAAGTCTATTAAAACATACTTAAAATTTACCAATAAATGTTAATAAATAAACAAATTTGAGGCTACTAAAGGGGGTTAGAATAGATATGTAACTTAAAATTAAGGTTTTTTTTTTTTTTTTGGTTTTCTTCTTATTTATGCTTGATCTGGTGGAAAGAGCATGGGCTTCATATTAGGCACAATCATTGTATCCCAGCACTGTTATTTACAAATGCTATGACCTTGGGCAAAGCACTTAAGCTTTCTGATTCTCAGAAATCCCACCTATAAAACCTGTACTCTGTATATCCCAGTGACCTAATATATGTGATTATTGTGGTGTCTGGTTCATTTTAAGTCTCAGTAAACAGTGGCTAATAGTAGTTTATATGTAATATTCATCTTTACAGTGTTTATTGTAGGCAGTGTTCTTGATTCTGGTTGTAAACAAATGTACTGCTATGTGTTGCTGTGTTTTGCCATCTGTAACATAATATGTTATCCACAATGTGCCATTTGTGGAAAAATAATCCTCTAAATTTTTGAAAAAGCAACTGAAATAAAAAGATACAAGAACTAAAAAATAAAGTAAAAAACCATGAAAAATAGATGGCAGAACCCATTTATGCTGGAGGTTGCATATTTTTTTGTGTGAAAAATCAGATCTTGATGATAACCTTGAGCAGTAGGATATAAATAACTCCTACAAGCTTAGCGTTCCAAAAATGGAACGCTGGGCATAAATGGGTTAAGAAAGAAACTGAAAAATTTTACCAGAATGGAGAGCCATGTTAGAAGAAGCGAGTAGGAGAGATGTCACTAAAAGAGAGTCAGGGACTTGGAGAAAATGTGCGAGGAAATCATATAAAACCAAATGGAGAAGAACTAAAAGATGAAGGCAACTCCAAAGAGGAAAAGAGATGTGTAAATAAGGGGAAGGCAATATGTGAATCATTCTTAATGAGAGAAAAGGATTCCAAATTTAATAAAACTTCCCTCAACCAATTGTCCTAAAAAGTACAGTGATTCAGGAAAAGAAAAATAACCTAGAATAATAGATGTAGAAGAAGCAAGGGGTTTTTCTTAAGGCTGAATTTGGCTTATTTCACTATATCATTTAAATTTAAAATAAGGTGAACACAATGTCTACAGATTTTTATGGGGTAAAAAGTAGACATAAGTATTTTATTCCGCATCAGATTATCGATCATGTGAAAAGAAAGGGATTTTTTTTTTTTCTTTAGGAGACAGAGAGGGAAAGAGAGAGGGAAAGAGAGAGAGAGAGAGAGAGAGAGAGAGAGAGAAAGAGAAAGAAAGAAACACTATGCAGCTGCTCATGGGGGTTGAATGCCTCCGACTGAAGAAGGCACGGCATAGAGATCTCTTACCACTAGGGGTAGTATCCAAGTCATGTGGCACCAAACATGTAACCGGTGGAAGGTATCCAAGTTACCAGGGCTGATTCCTTATGGGTCTGCAGCAACCTCAATTCTTGCCTCCTCAGAAGAAAGAATTTGACTGAGGGGCATAAGGCAGAAAAGGAGACCAAGGTAAATTTCAGAGCAAAAGTGGAAGTTTCTTAAAAAGCTTTAGAGTGGAAGGAAAGGAAGGAAAGGAAACAAAGGAAGGAAAGCACACTTGGAAAAGGGTCAAGCGGGTGACTTGAGAAACCAAGCGCATCAAGAAAGGCATTCTTCAACATGACAGTCATTGAGGAATGTAAGGCTTATCAACGGTTTCGAAGCAATTACTTCATGATGAGACCCTAAATGAAATTAAATAAAGAATTCAGGGATGAAAAAGCAGCAGTATGAAAGACCAAGAGGCAAACAATGAATTCATTAAAAAAAAAAAAAAAAAAAAAATATATATATATATATATATATATATATATATATAAAAGCTGCTATGGAGGTTTTAATCACAAAAGAGGCTGTAACTGACATAAACCTTGACAATGTGAAATGATAATGACATAACTGAAAAATCTGCAGGGAGAGAGGGAAGAGGGGAGTTAGGACAAGAGAGCACTAATTTCCTCATCTTTCATCTTGGAAGTCAAAAGACACTGTCTGAAGTTAAGTCAATAAACAGAAGTTGAAGTATATAATTAATAGTTAAAAATAACTTGAAAAGACAATAAATCTCTTAAATGATCAGAATAGAACAAAAAAATTAACAGTAAGGAAACAAAGACTACAAGAAAAAGGTAAGAAACAATAGAAGTATAAAAACAGAAACAGTAACAAACCAAAATGAAACCTCAAGACTCAACATGTTTCTTATAAAAATGAGTATAAATGGAAGAAATTCACCTAGTGAAATAAAAGTTATCAGATTATATAAAAGGCATAAAATTAAAACAAAATAACTCTAAAAGACTAAATATGAATCAATAGGCAAAGAAATATCTGGTGGCTGAATACATGCATGTTATAAAGGACAACAACCAAAAATGATGGCAAAAAATAGAGGTCACGACTAGTAATATTATAGAAGAGCGAAACAAAACAAAAAGCATTACATGAAACAAAAACAGTTTATGTTAGTAAAGGGTGTATACCACCCTTTTGAAATGAAACATTATTTTTTTTAAACCAATGCAGAATCAAATTATTTAAGGCCAAAATTACAGTAAATAAATGATAAATTGACAAATATTCTAATAGTAGAAACCTCTAATGCACTGCTCTTACTTTTTGAGAGGTGACATAAATAAAATTAA